CCATGAAGGTACTTGTGTTGTGATGAAGGTCACTAATTGAATGAAGATTAATAATCTTGTTCTGTGTCTGCCCTCAAGATTGGACATATGATGGATAATCTTGCTTACCACCCTCTTGTGATGAATCATGTCATACTTGCGATTTAGGTGTTTGCGGATGTAACGAAAAATATACACTTTCTGAGAATAATAAAAAATGCAACCCACCTGTTTGCCATGAAAGTTGTTTCTAATGCCATGAAGGTACTTGTGTTTGTGATGAAGGTCACTAATTGAATGAAGATTAATAATCTTGTTCTGTTGTCTGCCCTCAAGATTGGACCATATCCAATGATGGATAATCTTGCTTACCCCCCTCTTGTGATGAATCATGTCATACTTGCGATTTAGGTGTTTGCGGATGTAACGTAAGATGGACACTTACTTAAAATAAAAGAAGATGTAACCCACCTGTTTGCCATGAAAGTTGTTTCTAATGCCATCAAGGTACTTGTGTTTGTGATGAAGGTCACTAATTGAATGAAGATTAATAATCTTGTTCTGTTGTCTGCCCTCAAGATTGGACCTAATCCAATGATGGATAATCTTGTTTACCCCCCTCTTGTGATGAATCATGTCATACTTGCGATTTAGGTGTTTGCGGATGTAACGAAAAATATACACTTTCTGAGAATAATAAAAAATGCAACCCACCTGTTTGCCATGAAAGTTGTTTCTAATGCCATGAAGGTACTTGTGTTTGTGATGAAGGTCACTAATTGAATGAAGATTAATAATCTTGTTCTGTTGTCTGCCCTCAAGATTGGACATATGATGGATAATCTTGCTTACCCCCCTCTTGTGATGAATCATGTCATACTTGCGATTTAGGTGTTTGCGGATGTAACGAAAAATATACACTTTCTGAGAATAATAAAAAATGTAACCCACCTGTTTGCCATGAAAGTTGTTTCTAATGCCATGAAGGTACTTGTGTTTGTGATGAAGGTCACTAATTGAATGAAGATTAATAATCTTGTTCTGTTGTCTGCCCTCAAGATTGGACATATGATGGATAATCTTGCTTACCCCCCTCTTGTGATGAATCATGTCATACTTGCGATTTAGGTGTTTGCGGATGTAACGAAAAATATACACTTTCTGAGAATAATAAAAAATGTAACCCACCTGTTTGCCATGAAAGTTGTTTCTAATGCCATGAAGGTACTTGTGTTTGTGATGAAGGTCACTAATTGAATGAAGATTAATAATCTTGTTCTGTTGTCTGCCCTCAAGATTGGACATATGATGGATAATCTTGCTTCCTTTCTCTTGTGATGAATCATGTCATACTTGCGATTTAGGTGTTTG